ACTTTCTACTTGTATCTGGTAAATTATTTCCTTCTGTGTTTTTCTTTTACTTGCTGACTGTTGGGTTAATTATCATTCATCCGAAAATAATATGATAACATTATATTGCTAAATCGCACATTTTAAACCTAGATTACTTTTTTCTACTTTCGTAGATTGGAGTGCATTATGGAACTTATTGAAGTATTTAATTGTTTTGAGCAGAGGCTTATTTCTTAAATGAACTCAAGACTAAAACATCGCCTGATGGAGACAGAAGGTGTTCATACACAATAGAGCCTTTTTAAACATTGTTATACAATGCCTTAATCCTTGTGTTCAGCATGTCATGAGCTTCTCTGTACCGTGAATTATCTGCTACTGACTCCTTTTTCACAAATTTTGACACCTCGTCAACAAGCAACCTCTTAGGAAATAATACAATCACAATTAATTGCACCGATCGTTTCAAATCTTGACACAATCAACCACTTTTTACAAACAGAGGTGCATCATTTATTACTTGCTTGCTAAACTGCTTTTTCATTGACATGCAGCTGCTTTAACAAATAGAGCAAACACGGATGATTTTGTCAATAATACAAAGTTTAAGTAGGTTTACTTTTACCTAATAACTACACATAATTACTTAAGTACTCATACGTGTGAGTTTAACGTTCCATAAACCCTCTTGCAGCGTCACATATAAATTCTTGCCTAACCATATTGATCAAAGAATTTTCCTTTCTGGAATGTGTTAAAAATGGAAACACATTGCGAATTAATACTCAAAATTACATTAATTGCCAACTCATACTTGCCGAAATAAAAACATTTATAAATAGAATAATATTATTTATCATTATGACAATAAAATATCGGTGATTTGGCAGTTTATGCGGAATAATGAGGTTGAACAGTTCAATTTTTATGATGATGAATAGTATTACTCTTATAAATATTCAATTCAAAGCAATTACCATTTAAAATGAGGAGACTTGGTATTTAAGTAATGGAGTAACATTCTGCAAAAAAACAAATAATCTAACAGATGTAAGACTAATGCAATCAGCTGCACTCTTTTTTTTTTTTTAGAAGCTTTTTATTAATTAAACTTCACTTGTGGCGGAGGAATACCATAATAACACACTCGAACAACGACACTGTACTAGAACGAATAGTCAAGCATGCTAACCAAACTACACCACTACCCAAACCTCAATCTTCATCTCACTTCCTCCAATAAGCCACTCCCATCATATCCAGACGAAGTAATTTCTTAATACCTAACACACTCATAAATATAATATTTTTTCTTTTCTCAAAACCACCACCATAATAATAATAATAATAATCAAGGTTCAGTTTCTTGTAAGCCCGTTGTTTGTTACCAATTTATAAACCAAAATTTCATCCGCCATTAAAGGAAAAAGAACCCATTAAAGTTCATCGTTTTAGTTAATAAAATAAGAGAAACGCATCATTAAATCACTACATTCACATGGAAAAAAATGAACATGCATGATAAATAAATAAAAAATGGGAAAAATCAATAGATATGAATAATTAGAAATGGAAAAAGAAATTGAACGGATAGAGACAGAAACTGAACCAAATTACGGAAGAGATTAGAAATCTTGATGGTGAAAAAAGCGCCGACACGCTTGATCAGCTGCAGGAAATCCTCCTTGGAATAATCAGCCATGGTCCCCTCGAATTCTCCACTAATTAAATAATTGACGATGATTTTCTATGCAGAACGTGAATTGGTGATTTGGAAAGGAAGGAAAGGAAATCCTCGATCTCGGGTTTACGCACTTTCCCACACAGTGGAAGATTTTAAGGCCTTTGTTTTTAAAAATCAGACTTTGTTTTTGTATACCATAAAAGTGGTCGGGACGGGGACTCTGTAGGTGCGGTGGGGTCGGGAGGCGGAGAGAGGTCAGAGCTTTCCTTCCTTTTTTTTTTTTTTTAAATAATAAAGACTTTTCCCGAAACATATCACCAATTTAAATCATTATCAAATATTATTTATTTTCTTTTTATTGAATTTCAAAATATACAAGTTTGATAGGTAAATGTGAAAAGGCTTTTCAATTCCATATAAGTCGTAAAACAAAAATCCAAGGACCACATAGGTGTGTATTTTCTATAAAATTGACAAAAAACAAGTTTAAAGTAATTGTACATTAGAATTTAAACTTCATTTTCACATTCATATCAAACAGTCAAATAGAAATTGAATTCCTCGAATGTGACATTTTTCATAAAATTTAAACCAATCAAACGGACCCTAATCATTTTCATCAAATTAGATAAGTTGTAAGAGTTTCTATTCAATTTGGACACCGACGGATTTCGCATTATTTAGGTATACAAAAAAAAAAGTAGTAGTTTCCAATCGTGGAACTTAAACTCTCTAGTCTCTTTTAGTATTGAATTGACGTGTATATTTGGGTTTCGAGTAAAAGTGGGTCCGAGTTATTTATTACGTATGTCAATTAAATACTCATAAAAAGTACAAAATTCTTCATACTACGAGAGTATTAAAAATTATTTATATATATTCTTTTCAAACTGAATAAAGTTGACGAGAATTTGTAGCTAATCATTCTGCTCAACTTAGACATACGACAATCATTTCATATGATTTAGTGGACATGTTCAAGAAAATTTACGACGAGAGACAACTTTCATGGTGTACAATAGAGTAGACTAGTTTGATTTTTCTTTTTTCCTTTTATTAGTGATTCCAAATTTATTTATTGAATTATTCTTTAACATTTTTTTTTTTGAAGGCTAGGAGTTCTTTGCAGAATAGGATTAAATGAATCTTTGTGAATCAAAGAATGTGAATTGTTTAAGAATTTGAAACATCAAGCTCAGGTAGAAACCTTTTAGGAAAATTGGATGATTAGATCTCAATCTTTCTTTATTTTTAGATTTTCGAAATATTTTGTCAGTCTATCGATAGAATTAAACATCTAAGAATCGAAAAAAAAGGGGAGGGGTTAATTAGACCCAGCACAATATTATGATCGGCCGTCTTACAGAAAAAACCAATGTATAAAAAATACATTATTTATATTCGTATGACTAGCCTTCTTTCTCGTAGAAAAAGAAGAGGTCCCTACGACCATCACCACCACCATCTCCAGAAAAAATTACCCCGTGCATCCAACCGCGAAAAATGACAAAATTTTGTCATCCCATAATGGTGATATCAACACCTCCCCAAATTCAACCAGCATGAATCCCTATCGACCATGTCACCTTGAAAACCGCATCTTCAAGAATCTAGAACAGAGCTGGATTCAAAAATCCAACTTCAAGTATTGCATCAAGGTAAAATCTATCTTGTATTTGTGCTTCACCTTTGGACTTTTATGTAAATCTAATTGCAAACCGTAAACTAGGGTTCTAATCACTTTGTATTGTTAAAATCTTTGTCAACTATAAATAAATACCCTATCGACACAATCAATGAAGAATTAATATTTACAATAGCCTTTGCATTACAAATTTTAATAAGGGCATATCTGATTGACTTTATGTTTCATTAAAATCAATTTTTTCATCCAAGCTCCTACTTTTGGAGTGTTTGATTGATATTTTTCCATAGAAAATATTTTTCAAAAAGTTGGGCACGTGACATTGCTTTCCTCAACAAAAGAAAAACATTTTTCTTTATGAGAGTGTAGATTTTTATTTTTTAGACAATTCACACTTTCCAAAAACTCAACTTTATGAAAAAGTACATCATTTTCTAAGTTGAAAATTAAATCAATCAAACATATTAAATTGTCTAGAATTTATTTCTTCTATATTCCATACTTGCAATCAAACACATCCTGAGTTCATTTTGAATTGAGATATGCTGTCCAATCTACCGTCCACCGAATAAATTATGGACACCTTGAGTTTTCAATTTTTATTGTGTTTAATTTAATATTAAAAAAAATTCTCAAAATCCTCGCAATGTGGAGTAAGAGTTCATTAAATATATCGTCAAAGTTACTTTAATTTACAAATTAAATCTCCTAAACTAACGAGCTTTGCATTTATTGGAACGTTGGGGTGTAATGAAGATGAATATATTACTTTTTAAAAAAATTGTAATAAAGATTGATTTAGAGTGGAATAAATATATAATAGTGTGTGAATATGTAACGTTTAAATGAATGAATCTGATAAAGATAATGTTGGAATGTAACGTGGATGAATATAGTACTTCTTTAAAAAATTTAATAGGGATTGGTTTGGAATGTGATCTCAAATTAAATATGCACGGTTTGTAAGGAAAAAAAAACAGAGCCATACAAAAAGTAAAAATAAAAGCAAACAATAAATTTGTATCAGGAAGAGATGAGCATTATTATTGTCTTTTAACACATGAAAATGAGTTTGACATCAATTTATTTATTTTTATATATTTGTTCAATCCGATGTATTAAACTTTAAGCATTAGCTTCTTGAATTTTAATCACAGCTAGTTGAACAATAATAATTTTTACATTTAGCCCCCGTTTAATGCTCATTAAAAATTAATTTTCCTTTTTTTTTTTGGGAAAATTAGTGAGTTTTGGAATAGTGATTTTTTAAAGAATGTGTGGTTAAAAAGTAGTGAAATTTTTAAATTTACGTGTAAAATATTTTGTTGTGTGACTGTGTGATTGAAAATAATTTTTTTTGGAGAACGATAGACAAACGAGAACTTAAAATAAAAAATCGCCCTAATAACATAATTACAAAAACACGTGTAACGTACATGTTGCGCACTAGTTACAAATATCAATATACTCCTACCTCACCCCCACAAAAATAAAATTTAGGTAAAATTTCAAAAACAAAACATGCTTTTACTTCCATAGTTCCAAATAGATGAGTTAAGCCACGTGTCAATCCCTCATTACACTATTGAAGATAACGTGAATGTGCCCACCAGCAAGCAGAATGTCGGAGTGACAAAGAATTTGTCAAAACTGTTCTAATCCACCATAAGTGATAAGACAATGCTGTAGATGTCATCCGGCGGCGATAACCACCACCAGGCCAAGCCAAAACGAGATGAGCCAACAACACCTAGGGTTCTTACCATTTTATCTTGTGTACTAGAGAAGCTAGTGGCACGTAATGACCAGCTAGTTCTTGGCTCGGCTCAGCTCGGGAAGAGCTTGAACGCCTTCCATGGCGTGAGAGCACCGAGTATTACGATTTTGAATTATATAGAGAGAATATATAAATACACGAATTGTAGCCCGTCGTGTTTCGTGGTAGGCTATGTGTATATAGACAGGTTGGTGCATAAGTATCCCGACTCGCTTGTGGTGTCAATCAACGTTCATAGATTGCTCGTTACAAGTGTCATGGTGGCTTCCAAGATTCTCGATGATATGTGAGTTCTCCCTCTCTCTCTCTCTCTCTCTCTCTGTACGAAAATTTTAGTACACAAGACGTTTGTTGAAAAAAATGAATCTAAGCATGCACGTCATGAGAATTGATGAAGATAAATATTTGTGCTGATTGATGATACACATACTTGGACCAAGTTTTTGGTTGAAGAAGAGGATGAAAAAAAAAAGGGATATATACATATCTTCCTTAATCTTTTTCACTTATTAAACTTGTCTAATATGTACAAATTACGGGGATATATGGAAATAGCATCACTATAACAATACATTTTATGCCCCAGTAGAGTGAGCAATATAGAGTTCTATGTAGTAAACATGATCACGTATGTCTCAGGCACTATAACAATGCATTTTACGCCCGTGTTGGTGGAGTGACCAATACAGAACTGAACACGCTCGAAACCAAGCTGCTTTTCCTGTTAGACTTTGGAGTAACAGTAAGCTCTCGAGTATTCGAAAGCTATTGCCAGCACTTGGAGAAGGAAATGTTGTGTAATGACGCAACACGGATGATTGAAAGGCTAGCAATCTCCAACTCTGTTGATGATGTTACTGAAATCTCTGTCGAAGATACACAAACTTCTTCACCACCGCAGATTTTAGACTGATCTCTTAATTTATTACACTATCGGATTCAATTTATCATGTAATGTAGTTCGAAATGTCTACTCTCTGCTTCATTTCTACTGTATTAATGAAAAATTATGCAAATTAGTATTGTCAAGACTCATGATAGAAGGCCCCAACTCTTACCATAAAAGGTCAAGCTAGAGATGTCTATGATTGCAATGACATCATGCAGCTAGACACTTGAGATTGAACTGTATAGTTGGATCCATCCGTGCACAAAAAGAAGCCACAGTACCAAAGTGCTAATCTTAGCGAAGATGTGCCAATTAAAGAAAGGTGTTCGACTTGGCATCAACTTAGCTCACGCTCACGTAGGGTATGGCTTCCCTTAGAACTCGAGAGATGGGACAAATGCGTGTCGTCAAGCAACATGATCCAGGTAAGTGTTGGAAAATGTAGGAGTTACTTACTCCACGGGGCGTCACTCTTGTTACCGCTATTAATCTCTCCACCATTCCATTCTAATTAAGAAACGACATATATTACAACTCATTGAAATTTTGTTGGTTTTTTGCGAATATAATAGTTGATGATCATTGAAGCGAAATTGATGTCCTATATTTTTGGGCTTTTGGGTGTTGGCTCGTGTCATTTTGTTTCAAGAAATGGAAACAAAGTGGCCCATATCTAGCTTAGTTCAGTATTATTACACTAGCCTAAGGTCACTAGGATTTCATTGTTGTGGGAAAAAATTGAGATAAATAGGAATTTTATGAGTGAAAAAAATTATTGTATGGATTGTCTAAGGTCAATATGATGAAATTTGGTGAAAATCTCAAGTTAGAGGTTTTTTTAAAAAAAAATTGGTGTTTAATGGGGGACATTACACTAATTAATGCATAAAAAAATTATTATTTTATTTGAAAATTTCTTTTCGTAACATTTATGACTCGAGCAATTAAGCTTGTAATGATTTTTAAAATCTGGTGCCATATGGTCATTTGATTTAAGAGTTATCGGCCGAAAACTTGTTACATGAGTCATTTATAAAGTTTAAAGGTGAAAATGCTTCAAATAAAGAAAAAAATTGAAACTTTTTTTTTATAGAAAATCAGAAAAACATGTTTATGAAACAGAAGACGAACAAAATACCTTGGTTATATGTCTCAAACACTTATTTGAGAAAAAAATTGACTTTTCATAAGGAATTATCAACCTAATTAAGTTCTAAAGATTGAAACAATCAAACTATGAAGAATCTTTGTTTATTGACATATTGACTAGCAATTAATGAGATTTACCTAAATTGGAGAGGTCATGATAGTATAAAATTCAACATTAGTTCACGCACTTGGAAAGAGTGAAAATAATAAATTTTGGGGTGCATGAATCTTACGAGTGATAAAAGAATATATTTGACTATTGAGAGACGGAAATTGAAACAACTTATAAATTATGCTTAATTCTTTACACGCGCGTCGATTTTACATTGAAAATGTAGATTTTTAATTTTCGTATTGTGATTTTGAAGTTGTGATTAAATTTAATATTATGATTTCAGTCATGAGTTAAAAAACCAGGTTAGCTAACTAAATCTTTTTGTTTTGATTATTGACTGAGCACCAATTAAGTAATTAGTAGTGTATGTTTGTGTGTTTATTAGGTTTTAGTTTTGTTTGAGAACAAACAAAAAGTCAAGTTTGAGGGTGTGATAAGTGTAGTTTTTATACTTATTCGCGATTCTAAATCATGATATTTTATTGTTTTTTGAATTAAATTCTACCTAATTTATGTTAAATTGTATTTTGTAGGTATAACTTTATGTTTAATGAGAATTGAAGAAACGAATGCAAAATAGCGAAAAAATGCAAAAAAAATTCATAGTACGAGGACTAAATTGGAATGTGATGCACAAATAATTCGTTTTAAAGACTAACTTACATTATATGAAAGTTTTTGGGTTTGGACAGAAAAATTAATTTAATTTGGTATTGGAATTTATTGGACCTAAATTTGGACTTCTAAAAATTGGACTACACATTGGCAACCATATTATATTGTATATATACAAATCAGTAGCTTGAATGGCAAGAGGAGATAGACAGGTACACACATTGGAGAAAGCGGCTGCAAGTTGGACATAAAATATATACACACACTGGAAAAGAAAAAATCTAATTGAGAAAAAGAAAGAGGAGAAGAAAGAGTCAACTATAGTGGCTGGAAGGGAAGAGAAAATAGAGCCTGAAATTGAATTATATATATACACACAAATCACGCACACAGTGGACAGAAATATGTGGCTGAAAATATATTATTTTCACGTGCAAGAAGTAGGCAGATATTCTGGGCAGAAAGTTGATGAAATCGAGAAATATGACTTCACGTTTCGTCAAATTTTGGTGATATCTTTCCATTTTTATGTGTTTAAATTCAATATTATGAGTGGCTAAATTATTTTATTGTTAGGATTGATGATGTAAGTTACTGATGATGTAGGTTAAGGTTTTTATTATATGTTTAATTTTAAGATGTTCATGTCATTTTAATACTTGTTAATTAATTATTGTGTGTTTAATGTTATTATTTGTTTGCGCAACAATTAATTGATTTAGAGATAATATTGAGATCGATAGGTGATGTATAATTCTAGCTCGTGCAATAATCAACATAGACATTATAAGAGTTCGAAAGATAATTATAAGATGTGCCATCTTTGTCGAATTCCTATACATAAATGCGTTCATATGCGTGTGAATTTATATAGAAATATAATAAGTTCGGGTATATGAATATGATTAATGTTGTTTGAGAGAAATCACTAAATATAATATTTTAATTCGATCGTTGGCACGTATGAAAAATGGCTGAATAAATTGGAATTGAATGTATGATAAATAATCTAAGTGAAATTGGAAATCCTAACTATCCAATCATATAATATTTTCTACAGTTTTAATTTGAGTTTGTTATTTTTAATTAATCTTTTGTTAGTTTATTTATTAAACTTCATTTAGAAAACATATTTTGATTTGATCATTGGTTACTATTTTAATTTAAATTGAAGTTAGATTAGTTTAAGAATTTATAATAGATAGTGGTCTCTGTGAGACGATATTCGGATTTACTAAATCCACTTTATTACTTGTCACGATCCGTACACTTACGAAATTTCACGAACAATTTTTTTGGCGTTGATGCCGAGGACTATTTTATTTGTTTTAAATTTTTAATTAATTCTAGTTTTGATTTAGATTTTTTTCTTTGTTTTTGTTTGTTTTTAGTTTAAGGTTGTGTGTTTTTATTTTCATTTTCGTTACAAGTATCCTTACATGCGAAGTTCGAGAGTAGGTAATTTAGTACACTTTGATCTAGAAATCGAACGTACTTTTAACTATAGAATTAGACAACAACGAGAGAACATCCTGACATAACAAAATAGAAATGTGCAACCGGCACAAGTTGCAACTAGTTGAGATTGATGAAGATGATTTGCCACTTAGACAATTTATCACACCACTTGTTGCACCAAATCAATCAAAAATCGTATATCCTCCATTTGGACAACCAAACTTTCAACTAAGGACAGACATCATTTTATTGTTCCAGAATGGAGTATCATTTTATGGGAAACCTCTTGAGAATCCACACAATCACATTTCACGCTTTTTGGATATTTACCAAAATTACAATTTCCATGTAGTATTTGTTGAAACAATCAAATTGAGACTCTTCCCACATGCACTCAGAGATGGAGCAAGATAATGGTTGGATGCCTTACCCATTGGAAGCATTAGGGCTTGGAATTATCTCGTACAAAAATTTCACAAAATATTTTCCACTGTTAAAAGTAACTAAACTTTTCAGCAGGATGAATGAGAAAGTTTTCACGAAGCATGGGAAAGATTTAAGGACTTGATCGGGAAATGTCCTAACCACGGTATTAAGAAAAATTTGCAAGTTCAATACTTCTACACTGGCTTAAACCCAGCATGCCATATATCGGTGGATGCAGCTTAAAATGGATCTATCACATTAAAGTCACCCAATGAAGTTGAGGAATTATATGAGATGATGGCAGCCAACAATGCCTTATGGCCTTTCGAAAGATCCATACATAAAAATCACACAGGTTTACATGAGGTTGATGCTTTCTTTGCATTATCAACACAGATGTCAGCTTAAATCACTTGACTACAAGAAATTCAGCAAAAGCAGTGCAAACAAAATATTTGGTTTGTGGTATATACGGTGGAGCTTACAATAGTGGGGAGTGCCATATGTCATCTCAAAAGATGGAGGAAGTTAACTATGCACAAAATTATCGACGCCAACAAAACAATGCATTCGGCAATACAAACAACCCAGGTTGGCGTAATCACCATAACTTCTCCTTGAGCAACAACCAAAATAATTATCATTAGTCTCTCCCTGATTTTCAACAGCAAGAGAAAAAATCATCTCTGGAACATATCTTGGATAAATTTATACAGAAGAACGACCAGTATATGGCAAAGACTAAAACAACCTTGCAAAATCATTCAGCAGCCATAAAGGGGTTGGAAACTCAAATAGGTGAGTTGGCCTTCATTATCTCAGAAAGACCATAAGGAGCCCTACCTAGCAACACAGAAACTAACCCAAAGGGACAGGTGCAAGCAATTACAACAAAAAGTGGAGTACAACTGCCTAAAATTACAGTAAAAAAATAAATAAAGTGCCTACTTTAGATGAGGAGAAAATAGAGGAATATGAAAAATCAACAGAGAAAAATTTAAAAGAGAATTCAGACATACCACAAGCTAAGGCGGCCATTCCTATAAGAGAATATGTACCCCAAATTCTATTTTCGCAAAGACTGCAGAAACATAAATTGGACAAACAGTTTTCCAAGTTCATTAAAGTGTTTAAAAAATTGCAAATCAACATTCCATTCACGGATGCTCTAGCACAAATGCCCAACTATGCTAAATTCATGAAGGAAATTCTCGCTAATAAAAGGAAGCTGGAGGAATATGAAACTGTGATCCTAACTGAAGAGTGCAGTGCACGTCTACAGAATAAACCGCCCCCTGAACTCAAGGATCCAGGGAGTTTTACTATACCTTGTACCAGAGGCGATAAATATTTTGAACATGCTATATGCGATCTTGGCGCAAGTATAAACTATTAACATTGTCTTTGTACAAGAAACTAGGAATTAGATAGGCTAAAACAACCACAATATCATTGCAGCTAGTTGATCGCTCCATAAAGCATCTAAGAGGGATTATTGAAGATGTCTTGGTGAAGGTGGACAAGTTTTTTTACTTTGTAGATTTCATCGTATTAGATATGGAAGAAGACCAGGATATTCTAATCATTTTAGACAGACCTTTCCTGATTACTGGAAGAGCATTGATTAAAGTACACGAATGAACGTTGGCACTGCGGGTTAATGATGAGAAAGTAAATTTCAACATCTATCAAGCAAAGAAACCTCCAGAAAAAGCTAACACTTGCGATATGATCCAAGCAGTTGAAGTAGTTGTAGGTAATAGAGAAAAAATGGGATTTACTCTATAACCCTCTAGTGCAACATATGACTATCCGTTATTTAGTAAAGGTTACATCTCTTACTGGTAAATACTCAGAAACCAATGAAGTAGTTGACTTAATATTGGCTCAAGAAGCCTATCCACCTGACAAAAATGAGAGCTACGTAGAAAAGCCTTGGAAACCTCTAAACAATGTCAAACCAAAAGAGATTTTGAAGGCTATACCGGAGTTAAAGCTGCACAATTCTATCTACCATACTAAAGTGAAGAAGAATACAAAACCAAGGATAAAGTTTAAAAACATGAGAGACGTGCCACCTCAAGATCCAACGTAGACAATTTGGTTAAGTTAAGCTAATAAAATTAAAGAAGCACTTCTTGAGAGGCAACTCAAGCGTTGTTCCTTTTTATTTATTCCTTTTTGCGTTTTAGGATAGTCTAACTTATTTTAAATTTATTTAGGATTCATCATACATACCCCGTTTTCCCTTAGGTCTTCATTATGTTGGTTTAATAGATGTTAGAGTTAAGTAACTTTTGTTCCAGTTCTTTGATCTTAATGCTTTGTTTGATTTTTCAGGAACACGAAGTCGCGGAACATTTAAACTAATTTTGACCAATGAGCTAATGAAAGTAATAGAAAAGCTAGTAGTCGAATTACACGCCATATCAGGGGAGTCTTTTCTTCACTTTCTTCTCCACCCCTTTATATGCGGAATTGAGAACGATGTCTAATTTAAATTTAGGGGTGGAACATGAGTTTTCATTTTTTTTAATTTATTTTTGTGTGCTTTAATTTAAGAAAAATTGAAAATTTTCAAAAATATTTTCTTTGTGTGATTGTGTAAGTTAGTTGGCCTAACTGATAATGAGGAATGTATTGAATCATAAATTGAACTATGAATAGTGAATAAGTTGCATGCTTAGAATATTTTTTGCTTCTTCATGTGAAATTTGATATATATTAACCACGTGAAATTAGTTAAGCATTATGTATGAATGAGTTAAATTCATAATTGGAAGGTTGAAATAGTGGACCATAAATGCTAAACCCAAAATCACAAAATTTTACATTCTTGGACCAAATTTAGAATAATTTGGGGGATTTCACTGTTGTGGGAAGATATTAAGATAAATTGGGATTCCATGTGTGAAAAAAATTCTTGTGTGGATTGTCTAAGATGAAACTGGGTGAAAATATCAAGTTAGAGGTTGCTTTTCTTAAATTTGTGTTTAATGGAGGACATTGCACTAATTAAGGCATTAAAAAATTATTATTTATTTGAAAATTTCTATTCGTAGCATTTATAACTCGAACAATTAAGCATGTAAGGGTTTTTAAAATCTAGTGCCCTATGGTCATCTGACTTGGGAGTCATCGACCGGAAGTTTGTTACATAGATCATTTAGAAAGTTTAAGGGTGAGAATACTTCAAATAAAGAAAAAAATGATTTTTTTTATAAAAAATGAGAAAAAGCAGGTGTATGATATAGAAGACGCACCAAATACCTTGATTATATGTCTCAAACACTTATTTGAGAAAATTGACTTTTAATAAGAGATTATCAGTCTAGGTAAATTCTAAAGATTGAAGCAATCAAACTATGGAGAATAGCATAAAATCACATATTGACTAGCAGTTAGTGAGATTTAACTAAACTAGAGAGGTGATGATAGTATAAAATTCAATCTTAGTTCATGCACTTGAAAAGAGCGAAAATAATCAGTTTGGGGTGTGCGATTCTTACGAGTGATGAAATAATATATTTGATCATTGAGGTAAGGAATTGAAACAACTCATAAATTCATAATGTTATACCTAATTCTTCACACACACATCGATTTTACATTGAAACAGTAGATTTTTAATTTTCGTATTGTGATTTTAAAGCTGTGATTAGATTCAATATTATGATTTTAATTATGAGTTAAAAAGCCATGATAGCTAACTAAATCTTTTTGCTTTGATTATTGACTGACCACCAATTAAGTAATTAGTAGTGCATGTTTGTGTGTTTATTGGGTTTTAGTTTTGTTTGAGGACAAACAAAAAGTCAAGTTTGGAGGTGTGATAAGTATAGTTTTTATACTTATTCGTGGCGCTAAATCATGATATTGTATGGTCTTTTGAATTAAATTTTACCTAATTTATATTAAATTGTATTTTGTAGGTAAAACTTTATATTTAATGAAAAATTGAAGAAACGAATGCAAAATAGCAAAAAAATGAAAAAAAAAATAATTATAGTACGAGGACTAAATTGGCATGGGATGCACAAATAAACTCGTTTTAACGATTAACTTGCATTATATGAAAGTTTTTTGGGCTTGGATAAAAGAATTAATTTAATTTGGTATTGGAATTTATTGGGCCTAAATTTGGGCTTCTAAAAATTGGACTACACATTGGCAGCCATATTATATTGTATATATACAAATCAGTAGTTTGAAGGGCAAGAGGAGATGGACAGGTACACGTATTGGAGAAAGTAGCTGCTAGTTGGGCATAAAACATATACACACAGGAAAAGAAAAAAGCCGATTGAGAAAAAGAAAGAGGAGAGGAAAGAGTCAACTATAGTGGCTGGAAGGGAAGAGAAAACAGAGAGGCTGAAATTGAATTATATATATACAAATCACGTACACAGTGGACAGAAATTTGTGGTTGAAAATATATTATTTTCATGTGCAAAATGTCGGCATCTATTCTGGGTAGAAAGTTGGTGAAATTGAGAAATATAACTTCACGTTTCGTCAAATTTTGGTGATATCTTTTCACTTTTGCGTGTTTAAATTCAATATTATGAGTAGCTAAATACTTTTATTGTTTTGATTGATGATGTAGTTTAAGGTTTTTATTATATGTTTAATTTCAAGATGTTCATGTAATTTTAATACTTGCTAATTAATTGGTGTGTGTTTAATGTTATTATTTGTTTGCGCAACAATTAATTGATTTAGGGATAATATTGAGACTGAGATGTGATGTATAATTCTACCTCGTGCAATAATGAACATATGTATTATAAGAGATCGAAAGATAATTAAGCTGTGCGATCTTTGTTGAATTCCTATAGATAAATGCGTTCATATGCATGTGAATTTATATAGAAATATAATAAGTTCGGGTATATGAATATGATTAGTATTGCTTGAGAGAAATCACTAAATAGAATATGTTAATTCGATCGTTGGCACGTATGAAAAATGTCTGAATAAATTGGAATTAAATATATGATAAATGACTTAAGTGAAATTGAAAATCTTAACTAAATCACATAATCTTTTCTACAATTTTAATTTGAGTTTGTTATTTTTAATTAATCGTTTGTTAGTTTATTTATTAGAACTTCATTAGAAAATATAATTTGATTCGATCATTAGTTACTATTTTAACTTAAATTGAAGTTAAATTAGTTTAAAAATCTAGGGGGTGTTTGTTTCTGATTTTGAGAATTGATTCTCAAATCGATTCTCATTTTCAATAACACATTTTTCAATAAAATAATTTTCATCACATCAATAATTTTTTTTTCTTTTTCAATCGCACATTTCCCATCATATCACTATTCAAAATCAATTCTTCCCCCAAAATTCCTACCAAACAACTAAAGTGGATAGTGGTCTCTGTGGGACGATATTCGAATTTACTAAATTCACTTTATTACTTGTCACGATCCGTACACTTGCGGAATTTCACGAACAATTTTTGCTTCAATTATTGAAGCACCGCCTGTAACGACAAGTGGTTTTGAACTTCCTGGAGTGCAATGACTACGAATGAGAATTCTAATATGATTGCAGCCTCCCTAAATGACTTAGCACCAAGTGAAAATTTTGGACAGTTTGCTGTTCCTCCCCCTCCTCTTCCATCCACTAATAATTCCGACTATTTTACAATAAGCAATAGAGATCAGGAATCCTTATATAGCAGAGATCAAAATTCCTTCTTTTCTGATGGATCAGGCCTGCAAAAGGTGATTTAATTTGATCGTGTATTAATTATTATAACTATTTCTTTTTACAAATGTTTCTAAGCCTCCATTTGGGAAGAAATTATAAACGGTTTAGCTTGTAAATAGATAAAAATCAGTGATACATAAGTAGACAAGAATGTGTTAGTCCATTCGAATGTGTGTTTAAAAATAAGTTTGACCGTTTACGAATGATTTGTAAATTTTGGCATATGGATTGTAAGAGTATAACATAGTTATTATCTTTGTGAGTTTCACTGTCTCAATCATAGTTGTACCAAACATTTGCTGATCACCGTTTTCATACCAAATTGCATTTTGCTTCACCCAGATAAACCAGGGTTGTGCGCACATAACGGATCTTGGGCTTTGCAAAACTGATGACCAATGTGACAGTCTTGACATTAATGATATTGGCTTGAGTTTTGAGAGTAGTTATGAAATGTTTGGGAATTCACAAGGTCAGCCAAGATACAACTGCGAGGATGGACGAATTGCCAGCCAATTAATGGAGAAAAACTTGTACGCAACCGAATCAAATAGCACACTTATTGAAAGTGCAATGGAGGTTCATTTCCACAACTAGAATTTTTGTAGAATTTCATGCCCCATATTGCTATTATGTCTCCATAAAACTTTTCCCGTTAATATTTTCATTAAATGTTGAATTTGACTTTGATTTTAATCAAATTTTTAAGCTGAACCAAATAAGTGCATAACGTATTTGTATTTTCTTGTTTAGGCATCCTCATCAGGGCAGCAAGATTTCAGGGTTTTTCATCAGCCTTTATCAAAAATAACTGCTGGTTCGAGTAATTTAATGCAGACGAGTAGTAGTGCTAATTTTACGCTTATGAACCCAGCAGCTGCATGCAACAGATCAGGATTAGGATTTCCAGATGGTCAACTTCCTTCAACCATATCACTCTCACTCTTCAATATCACAGGAGAAAGTTGTGCTGCTGTTTATCAGGATTGTGTACTGTCACCTGTGTTTCTTAAAGGAGATAATTCCCTCTGGGAGTCAAACTTAGAAGCGAGTTGTCCGCGGGCAAGAGAGAAAGCCAAGATAAGATACAATGAAAAGAAGAAGAAACGAAAGTATATATTTTTTCGCTCTTTCCTTCCCTATAAGATATGCTTCTCGCAAAGCCAGAGCTGATTTGATACAAGAAAGCGTGTGAAAGGTAGATTTGTGAATGCTAGAGAAGCTTATGACTATGATCCACTGATAACAAAGGATTTTTAAGTTTATTAAGCAATGGATTTCACCTCTGCCATTAATGCAATATATTCCCGGTGGAAAGGTACATTCATTTGCTCTCCTCACATTCTCATTTCATATTTTCTTTAGGTGCATCTTTGTTAGTTTGACTAACGACGGCTGGTAGCACAATTGGCCATTGTCAAATCATCAAACTGAAGCATATGAAAATAGTAACTCCACTGTAAAAACATCTGACAAAATGAAATTTAGTAAACTTTTAATTTTGCTGAAGTATTCAAATAGAGTTCGAATTTATTGTATCCATCTCATTGTTCCATTGATTGCCCTCTCAATCAAATTGTCACATCCTATGAGAAAAAGGAAAAAAAAATAGATAATACCTAAAATTTTAAATGGTGTGTCAAAATTTGATTGAGACGACGACCAATGAGACAACCATACGTGAGCAATAGATATTAGCTCATTTGGATATCGGGTTGTGCTTGATCTTATCTAATAGTGTTTAATCTTGAACTCATATTTAGTACTTCAAATTGAATATAACTACACGACGCGTGATTGTCTTTTGTTCCTTATTTTATTCAAAACTATATATATGAGCATGTTTGGGTAAGTTTAAAATCCAATTAAAATTAAAAATATAGTCATTATTGGGTCACACTCGTCTAATAAAAGTCAACAATAACGACTAATTTTTTAATTATAATTCAATTTTAATTTCTACTGAACACGCCCTATATAATATTGTGCTAAACACGGGGTTGCATTTTATGACAGGTCATGTGAAGTGGGTGGACTTAGAATCAGCCTGGCCCAGTTTGAGAATTCTAATAATGTCATTTCACTTGTATGTACATATTAATAATTTCACTTTTTTATCATCTCTTTCTAATTCTTTATTTTGTTATTGAAATTTTGTAGAGCGTTTAATCTTGGGGATCGAAAATTCAGCTATCCAACTTCATCAACTTTCAAATTCATTGCATGTCAAAAGATACACAACCAGAAGCACGTCGTCTACAATATTTTATTCATTAACAAAATTTTGTGTCTCAAACGTTGCAAGGAGAAAATTCGCCCAATTTTGATTGTGAAGGTATCGGTATAAAACATAATATTTTATTTAATAACCTTCAAAAAGATTAGAACTTATTCTCTTTGCCGTTTTCAAACCGTTTTCTGTTTTCAATTTTACAAAGAAAACTCAAAACGACAAATTTTTCGTTTTGGATGTTTTCAGTTAAAATCAAGCCAAAATTTTGAGAACAAGTTTTAAGTTTTTTCGATTTTCTTTGTCACCCCAACCGCCGCCGCCGCCGAACTCCCCTCCCTGGGAAACCAGAAAATCGTGTCATCCACCACCGGCTTCACTACCGCCGCCGCCCAAAAAGTCATTGATTCATGTAATCCGAAGAATAAAACCACTCTACTCAACAAACTCTTCTCCTGCCCAAACTCGGACCCATCAACGCCGGCGGCGGCGATGCTCCCTTCAATTCCCAATGCAACACAAATTTGTAAAATGCAAAGTAAAATCCATGCAACATATAAACACGATCGGAATCCGATCGCCGCAGCAGGAGATGACTGCGAACCTCTCAAAAGTGTGATTTACCAATCAATCCATTTGTAAGAGCTGAAACACTAACAATTGAAACTAGCAAATTAATAATTGTCGGTTTAGTGTATAAAAACAGTAAATATAAAGGAGAAGTGGAATTTTGTGCAGAATAATTATCAAAAACTGTTAATAAATAGCTGGCGGTGGTGAGCCGCGCAAGGAGGAGGAATGACAGGGGGATGAGGAGGCTGAGGAGGGTGGTGGAAAGGATATGAAATAGCTCCCTCGCGGCGGCGCCACCACTGAATAATAATTTGTTGACAATTTGTTGACATTTTTCTGTGTTGGGTATTTTTGTGATGCCAAAATAATCCCTAGGCTATGATGAAAAACAGTGGCCCGTTTAACTTCATAGGCTATAAGCCCGGGATTGAAGAATAATTAAAGTCCACCACCACAAACGATGTAGCCCAAATCTTATTGGGCATTTAGAGGAAATCAGCCCATTGGGCTAGATGCTCAATGCCCAATTATTGGAGATAATTGATAAGGGTTGTTCACCTCCTACATTCAAATTCGTAGAACTCTATCCTTTTATATATGCAATCTTCGGTTTTGATTATGTCTATCATTGGAGAGAAAAATCTGGGAAATTGGTTCAACTCTTTGCCTATAAATTGAAACCTCTCGTACTCAATTTTACACACCAAAATAATTCCTGCTTTGTGCTCTTTTGGAGAAGAAGAAACCGGCTCTTCCTTGCTTTGTGCAAAACTCTTCAGTCGTTCTTCCTGCCTTTGTGTGCCCGTGTCATTTTCTTCAAAACTTGGTAGTGCCTTTGTGGTGGTGGATTCTGAGCCTAGAAGGGAAATTTTACAGTTCTTCTAATTGTTCTTGAATTTTGATTTCTTAAATTGATTTCCTTTAATTGTCAATCCATTTACTAATTGCTTGATTTTTTCAAATTGTAGGTGGAATTAGATTCACAATCTGAATTCGAGTCCGTTTTATCCAAAATAATTCACAAGAAACTTGGGTTTTTCTAAGAGGGGAAGAAGAGAGAGAGAGACAAGAGAGAGAGGGGAGGGAGGGGAAATATCGAAAGTAAACTCGTTTTGAATTTTTTTTATTTTTGAAAATGATTTTTCAAAATGTCAAAAATAACATATTTTTAAGAATCTCAAAATGGACACTCAAAACACAAAACTCAAAATGAATTCAAAACTCAATACTGAAACACAAAGAGAACATCCCCTTAATTTTTATTAGATTGAAAATGAAAGAATTTGAAGTTGCTTAACCATTGAATAGTATAATTTCCTTAAAATTTTATAGATTTGCATCTCAATTTGTCAATTTTACAATTTAAATAGGGAAAAATTCATGGATCAGGTTTTAAGCCAATGCAAAAATCAGATTTTTAAAAATTTTTAAAATAAGGTCACAATTATATGCATTTTGGTCACAGATATCTTATTAATTATTTAAAAATTAATTTTCGACCACAACTTATCAAATTAATTGATCACAAATTATTTCGAGGTCACAATTTATATGTCACAATTGACTTCATTAGTCACTGATCAAAAAATTTATAGGTCACAAATTAAAAAAATTATCGATAACATATATCACATTTTCAAATTTGTTGGTCACAGATTATGGAATTTTGAGGTCACGGTTTAATAGTTAGCCACAGAGAACCGTATAGTTGGTCACATATACCCAAACACCCGTCCCCCAATCTAAATCTTCCACCAATACTTGGTAACAAATCGACCAAATAGTTGGTCACAGACACTCTTCGTTGTATCCATGCCGCCGCCGCAGATCAGGCCAAACCACAACAAAAAATCCGCCAACACACAGACACACATCAACAACAGCCAACAGCCACACACACATATCCGCCACCAACAAAAGCCAGACACACATCAGCCACCAACAACAGCCATTCACACAGATCCGCCCCACGCCCACAGATCCGTTGCCTCTTCGATTTCCTCAACTCCGATCCCACAAATCTGCCGCCTCTCTGATTTCCTCAACTCCGATCTGCCACACACCCACGACAGCGTCGCAACGCTGTGAACGGCTCGCAACAGCGTCACGATGCTGTAGAGAGAGACAAGGGAGAGAAGGGGAAGGAGGGAGGCGCCGCCATGAGGAAAAGAATGGGGAAGAGGATGGAGGAGCGAGAGAGAGGAAAAGGGAGTAGAGAGATAAATTAGGTTATCAATTAAGATTTTAATATAGTACCTGATTTTTGAATAAATAAACTTTAGACCTGAATTTTAAAAATCTTAGAAATTTGTGGGCTAAAATATTAAATAAGTATATTCAAGAGATGGATGATTCTTTGTAATATTTGATTTATTTGTAGATCAATAATTTGGAAGAACTACTAGTTGTATTGTCCTATTTCTTAGACGGAATTAAATATGACAAATATTCTACATATCATTCTTTTATATTTTTCTGAATCCTGTTAAATTCAATATACATGTTAGTATATAATACAAAACAAATTAATTTGGACAATGATTTTAATTTCTTTATCATTCTTGAGTTCTTAATCATTCAACGCACCCACAACCAAGATTAATCAACTACTTTCCTTTAAAAAAAGAAAAAAATTATAATCAACTACATAGTACTGAAAATGAACTAATAAATCTGCAGAATAAGTCTTCTTCAAACCGCATAAATATAACATGGAATATCTCCAAATCTGAGATTTCTCGGAGAATCCAATCTCAAACTGCCAATATCACATAGAAAAAAGGATGAAGAAGAAACTATCGAAGAAACTATCAAAGAAACAAGAAAGGTTCTTTCCGATTTATAATGTACTTTTCTTCAAGATTTTGATCAAATCCACTGCCTCTCCCCTTCAAGCAAACAATTGTGGGAAGAACCACCTCGACCGAAGTTCGAACCAGATATCGTTGTGTAAAACTTCCACAAGTGGTGCAAAGCAAGCATCTGATGTGTCTCTGGGCTAAGAAATTTGCAGCATGAACAAATCTATCACATTTCTTGCACAGAAAGGCATCATCAGCCTGGCAATATAATGAAGCCTCTGAATTGCAAAGCTCACAGGAAACTGCATAAATTTGAGGCTCTTCTTCTTCTTCTTCTTCTTCTTCTTTTATTGCTTCTCTTCCTCTGCACATTTTCTTGATTCCAAAGTGTATATAATATTGAAAGGTAATATCTTTGAAATTGTAAGAGAACGACTATTTATAATAAAAATAATGCAATAATTTATAGAAGAATGAGAGCCCATCATTTTCTTTCCGGAATGACTGGAATGCCACTATATGAATATGACAAATGGTCATTGTTTTACTATTTTTGACTTATCTTCCTTGCATTCTTCTTTTCTTTTTTAGATAACTTTCGTGTTTTGTGAAACTAGCTCAATGACATATAATTTGAAAAGTTGATTTCAACTATATTACGAAAAAAAAAATCATTATATAAATTATTTTTGATAGTAATTGAATTAATAATTTTAGGGAATAAGACATACTCTTGTACGTACGTTCCGATTATATAAATTATTAAAAGAGGAGGTGTATAGGAAAAAGAGTTTATATATATATTGTTCAAACCAACTAGTCGCCCAATACATTTTTAACGTATCGACGCATCATCTCTTTTTAGATAATAGAAAGTTGGCATTTTTTGACATCTTTGAACATTACACATTGACGTCTTCTCGTTTATTAGGAAAATATAATGTGTTGGGTTGTCAAAAATGTATTAGAAATGAAACATATGACAAAATGAGAAAGATCATTTTTTTGTGATTTAAATGAAGGCAAGAACACTAGTGGATGTTATGTGCAAAGAGGGTTAATTAGTAATTTAGGGTTAGAAGATTATATTTTAAATTGATTAAGCCCTAAAACTTTATGGGATTCTTGAATCATGGGCGGTATGGGCCATAATTTTTTTGCTGTTGAGTGGTTACCAAGTCAATTTTGGTTTACTAAAAAGTAGGTACTTGTATGGCCAAGAATTAAAGTCTTTATGGTGGATCCTACCATCTCAAAGAGAGTCCTTAATCTGGGGTGACAGATGATTTGACTTCTTCTACAAGGAGTTCCTTTGAAAATAGAAATCCCAGTTCTTGAATGGTTGGTAGTACGTGTAAACAAATGAATGACAACATTGTCTTTGTCCACTTACAAATTAAATTAATTTTGGCTTGTGATGCAAGTCGTCCATACATGTTTTGTGGTTGAAACTTTCCCGTTTCTAGTCTTTGATGTCGTATATGAGTTACAAGTTTAGTACTGTTGTGAGTGTGGTCCCCTATATTAGGCTGATCTCCACGCATTTAACTTCTGTTTGATTCACTTAAAAATTAGATTTTTAGTAAATTTTGATTAAAAAAAAAAATTGATGGAATGTATAATTAAAAAATTGATAAAATGTGCTATTTTCTTGAGTGCGTGATTAAAAATAATTTTTAGTTAAATTATATGTCGCGTCGTGTTACAAGCCAAGTTATGGTTTGCCAAGTGTAAGGTGTAGCGCCGTGAGTTCTAGACAAATCAGATTACAAAGCTTTGGTGAGGTTAACCAGAATTACACTCAACGTGTCTTCCATGTTTGGGTAAAGGAAAATGGATCATCTGAGTAAGAAGACCTCAAACCCTTAAAATTATACTTTTCTTGGCCTTTTGGCTATAAAATCAAACCACTTGTTTGAGCCTATTCTNAGTAAAAAATTGATTGTTTTTTAAATTGACAAATGATAGTGGCATATAGCATTATATAATATATTATGTAAATCTTAATGTTCTTGTAGTAAGATCCTTTTTAGAATAGATTGTGAGAAGTGACTGTTTTGAAAATGTGTTATTAAAAACTAGGGGGAAATTTGAGTTTACGTTCAAGATTATTTTATTGTGTGGTTGAAAATGAGTGTAGGAAATAATGAGTTTTAAAGAATTAGATTCAAACGGGGATCAAATGTAGTTTTTTTTTTTTATAAACTACTGAAGTTTAGAGCCCGTTTGAGCCTCATTTTTTACAAAAAAATAAAAAATAAAAATTGGGTAAAGGAAAATGGATAATCTGAGTAAGAAGACCTCAACCACTTAAAATTATACTTTTCTTGGCTTTTTGGCTAAAATCAAACCACTGTTTGAGCCTATTTTATAGAAGAATTTTGATACTTGTACATAAAAAATTACACAATATGATGTGTGTTGTAAATGATAAGTTATTGGTGAATTACAATTATACACATACAACCCTAAAAATTATTATCATATGTATCGTTAATCCTTCCCTATAAATATATGGATTTAATTCTCATTATAATACACACAAATCTATTGATTTTTATTCATTCTTCTCTTTTTCTTTCATTTCATATCATGTTATCATCACGAAAAGCTTAACTCTTCAAAGTTTTGTAAAGGTAGTAATTTATTTAAACTTAATCATTTGCCACGTGTACCAAAATTAATTTGGTGACGTGTGAATCTTTTTTATTCTATATATTGAAAATCAATAATTCATCTTCTGGATTTGCGACTGTGTTTATGGCTTTTGATGGTATGGATCAGTCCATGATTTAGTTTGAATATTTAATTATCTTTCTCCACTATTCTATATCTATGCGTGTGTCGATGCATAAGTTAATATCATGTCGGTATAGTAATTAATATTTAAATCTGATTAAATAACTTTAGATGTTTTGTTTTCATGAGTTAATTGATGACTTCTTTCTACTCAATTTGATGAAAAGCAATTTACATAACCACATAATCTATGAATTGGAACTTCTGAAGAGCTCAACAAAATTGTAAATTATTTGAAAAATAAATTTGAGATGAAAGATTTGAGAAAAATCAAATCCTGTCTTATATTGTAGATTGAACATTTCTCAAAATGATTATTTATTCATCAATTTACATATACAGAAAAAGTCGAAAAATGATTTTATATGGATAATGCACATTCATTGACATCACCTATGGTTGTTCGACCACTTGATGTGAAAAATGATCATTACAGATTTTTGGTCCTGAAGTACCATATCTTAGTGTAATTGAAGCATTAACTTATGTTGCAAATTGTACTCGACCCGACATAACTTTTTCTGTAAATCTCCTTACAAGATATAACTCTACACCAACATAAAGACATTGGAATGGTATTAACCATATTTTTCGTTATCTAAAGGGTATTATTGATTTGTGATTATTTTATTTCAAAAGTTGGGATCTGCTTTAATATGCAAATGCGGGTTATCTCTCTTACCCACATAAAGGTAAATCACAAATATGATACATTTTTACACATGGATGAATAGCTATATCATGGAGAATTGTGAAACAATCCTTAACAGTAACATTCTCAAATCATTTTGAAATTATTGCAATTTATGTAGGGCGAGAATGTGTATGGTTGATGAACATGACCCATCATATCCAATCATCATGCAGATTAATTTCAACAAAAGATAGTCCAACAATTTTGTATGAAAATAATGATGCTTGTAATGCACAACTCAAAGGAGGTTATATCAAAGGTGATATGACGATGTATATTTCTCCAAAATTCTTTCATACACATGAATTTCAGAAAAATGGCAACATCAATATTCAACAAATTCATTCAAGTGACAATGTGGGTTATTTATTTACAAAAGCATTCGCCAACATCTACATTCAATAAATTAGTTCACAAGATTGGAATTCGTCGACTCAGATTTTCAGTGATCAACATCAGGGGGAGTAGTTGTACTCTTTTTCATTCGCTTAGGTTTTATCCCAGTGGATTTTCCAATCAAGGTTTTAATGAATATTTTGTAATGTATCATTTAAGGGGGAGTGTTGTAAATAGTAAGTTATTGGTGAATGACGATTATACCCATACAACCCAAAAAATTATTACCATATGTATCCCTAATAATTCCATATAAATATAGGGTTTTGGTTCTAATTATAATACACAAAACTCACTTTTATTCTCTCTTCTCTTTTACTCTCTTTTCACAACAACAATGTGGAGGGAAAAAATTGGATAAAAAAGTCGATTGTATTTTAAACTGATAAATGGTAGATTGTTATATAACATTATATAATACATTATATAAATCTTAATGTACATGTAGTAAGATCCTTTTTCAAATAGATTTTGTGAGAAGTGACTAATTTGAAAATGTGTGATTAAAAATTAGGAGAAAAAATTAAGTTTATGTTCAAGATTATTTTATAGTATGGATGAAAATGAGTTTAGGAAATAATGAGTTCTAAAGAATTAGACTCACAAGGGGATCAAATGTAGTGTGTATATATATTTTTTATAAACTACTAAAGTTTAGAGCCAATTTGAGCCTCATTTTTTACCAAAAAAAAAAAGTATTTTGAAGTAGTAATTTGATGGAGAATGTGTGGGTAAAAAATAATGACAAGTTTTCGATTTGCGTGTAATATTATTTTATTAAAAAATGTATAATTAAAAATAAAAGAAAGAAAAATATATTTTAAAAAAACAGGAATAAAAAAAGAATTAGTATCTCGTAAGCGGGCGGGGCATTGCCCCCACATGATATTAAAATCTATTTTTGAGGGGGAAATGTCCAATGGAATAGTTTGTAACCTAGGCCATGGTGTATCGCCCATTCGCCCACTACTTCACGGGCACCAAAAAATGATGACGAATGTCGTCATAATAGTTGAGAACCAAGAAGCTCCACTAAGTTGGAGGATTGTGGAGATATTTTTGGGAATTATCTAGTTGTTTTTATGGTTTATATTTTTTTTGTATTAAGACTTTGTATTAGCTTTTATTTATATGAACTCAGTCTAAAAAATGAATGATAGTTTGATATTCTTCAAAATCAAAATTTATTTCAATATTTTATATGAATGGGTGTCTTAATTTTTTATTCTCGATATTCTTATAAATCAATAAAGTTATATCGTGTTATCTCGTTTCGTGCCACATAATAATGTAAATTTGTTGCTATTGAAGATAATATTTAAATAATTTACATGTGGTCTTATATAATAGTTTAAAGTCAAGTGATTTTACTTGATATGAGAGTACGCTTACATTGCTCGTTTAGTAAAGATTAAAATCCAATAAAAATTGAAAATTTAGTCGTTATTGAATCTCACTCGTCTAATAAAAGTCAACAATAACGGCTAGTTTTTCAATTTGAATCTTTACCGAACACGCGTGCATATGTAAGAACATAAGCGATTTTAATTGGTTCAACAACTACATTTGTAATCGAACTTAAACAAATAAAGACTATCTCTTTAACATTTAGTTGAGCAGAATTACTTCTTAAATTTGTTCAACAAGCACAACTTGTCTATTGATTTATTGAAATCCCTCCAAATCTGTGAGTCTTTTTCTTCCTAAATACTTTGGGCTCCATTATTTCAATTTAGTGTTATGATCCAGTTAATCGAATCCTAAAAATGCATGAACGTATTCAAGAGAAAAGTCTCAAACCTTGTTCCAACCATTAGAACAATCATGTTACACAGACAAACTCAATGTTAAAGTTAAAAAATAGGGGTACACGTGATGCAACATCATTGGACAGTTTGAAAAATAATAATAATAATAATAATAAAAAAATACCCACACAGATGCTGCCAACGCAACATCTGTCTCCCATGTTTTTGAACCGTGTTTGGGTAGCATTATTTCAATTAGAAATAGAGCTGCAATATGTACAGGTTTTCTTTGCCAAAATTTATACAGATGGGCAAGTTCACCTTTTCATTGGTAGTTGAAAAAATAAAATAAAAAGAAAACTTGTCGATCAAATGCTGTCAATGTAACACCTGTAAATTGCCTATACAATGACTTCTCCCCTTAGAAATGTTAAAGAACTCAATTAAATAATTCTTTAGTTACTAGCTTGTGACTTTGTGTGAGATGGACGCCAAACCCACTGCCAATTGTCATAAATCATTTGAAATACTTGTTTTCTGTATTCGCTTTGAGTACAAACTACAAATTGTGGAGTGTTGTATTTGACCCGTTCTTGGGGCTGCTACCTGTGACTCTTCCACATGGAAATGGCCTTAGAGTTTGGCAACCCACCAATGCCTGTTTTACGTCTTACCTACTCGGCTCATAAAGTCGTACGATAGGCAAAATTATAAAATATCTTAACTGTAATTTTCCCCTTATATACCTAACTTTAACTGCATTCCAGTCCTTGACAATTAATTTTGTAACGCTTGAGGTTGTTTTAGACCTTTTCACAAATATCGTGCCTCGACCCAAAATAAGTTTTGTGGAAAGTTTTGAGAATATATTTTGTAACGCAGATATTTTGAGAATATATTTTGTGGAATTTTTTTTTTAAAAAAAATCTATGATTAAAATATTGGAAAAAATTGTAGGTTCACATGTAAAATTATTTTATTGGAAAAATGTGTGATTGAAAATGAATTTTAAAGAATTTGTATCAAGTAGGGGTTATATATATTTTTTCAACAAATCATATCATACTTGACGATAAACTTATAGGTACTCGATATTTGTCGATGTTTTTTTTTTATAACTGTAGATATTCGGGTCAACTTGCACGCACCTCGACTAATCCCAATTTGTCAATATTGCCAAGAATTATAAAAATAGTTGACTTGAATATTCGCTAGCTTTATGGGACGTATCCACCATGTGGGTTATTCTGATTGATCCAAGAAATTTTGTTATTTGAGGGGAAAGTAACAATTCATCTTCCCTTAATACCTAACATGTGGAAAAACGTTTGAAAATTACCCTACTAGCTTAGGCCGTAGATTGCGTGTCCAAATTGTATATAGAACTTCAAAGCGTACCAAAAGTTTGATTATTTCTTCTCTAGAACCACTTAATTCCTTTTTCTCTGCCCATAAAATGAAGTTTTCAAATGTGATCACGAAAACCTCAAAATTCTCAAGACTGATAAAACTCATTTTGATATCAAGTTTTATATGTCTAATCTGTCTTCCAATAACATTGTCATTATTCATCTTACATAGTACAAAATTCTCACGTTTCTCAACTTCATCACAAGATTCGTCATCGTCGACTTCGCTCGAGCATATTGTTTTCGGCATTGCTTCGAACGATAGATCATGGCGAAATCGAAAAGATTATGTTAGGCTATGGTGGAGACCTGATGAAATGAAGGGATGTGTTTTTCTTGAAAACATGCCGTCCAATACAACACTAGATAATGATAGATTTTCCAATCTTCCACCTATATGTGTCTCCGGTGACACTTCTCGTTTTCGCTACACGTACCGCAATGGTCTCCGGTCAGCTATTCGAGTTGCGCGGGTTGTGTCGGAAACTGTTGCCCTTAATCATTCCAATGTGAGGTGGTTCGTTTTTGGAGACGACGATACAATTTTCTTTCCTGATAATCTGGTGAAGACACTGTCGAAATATGATCATGGGCTTTGGTACTATATTGGGACAAATTCAGAAAGTTTTGTGCAGAATAAAGTTTTCTCCCATGAAATGGCCTTTGGAGGAGCAGGTTTTGCTATAAGTTATCCTCTTGCAAAAGTGTTAGCTAAGGTTTTCGATTCGTGTCTCGAACGATACCCTCACCTCTATGGAAGTGATGGTAGAATTCATGCCTGTCTATCAGAGCTTGGTGTAAGTTTAACACACGAGGCAGGTTTTCACCAGGTATGTATCAATTTGTCCTTTTCAAAATTCTGCACATTTATCTTTACTGTCTACAAGTTTTAAAGAGATTTAAAATTTTCATAAATGGATGGTTGTGACACTTGATCTCAACTCGTCTACTTCATTTAAAGTCCTAAACGAATGGTTAAAAATATGATCCTAAGGAACCCACAAGCCATTTCGACGGGAGTCAGAATTTCTTCGAATATGTTCTTGAATTCATTTGAGATGTGAGTAAAACTTAAATTGAACTTAGTTTGACTGCCTAACCTTTGTCTACTCTAATTTAAAGAGGAGACGGCCAGTGGGCCCCTTCAAACGCCATCTCAAAAAAGTTCTAAAATGCGAAATCTTTATAAATGCATAGTTGTAACACTTCAGCACAAGACCTTCGTCTAACCATTGTCTCAATTATGTTAAAGAATTGTTCATTTATGTGTATTTTATCTTCGACTGAAAACTCTTATCAGATGGACTTTCGAGGGAATATTTTTGGTTTCTTGGCTGCGCACCCCGTTAGACCCCTCGTGTCTCTCCATCATATGGATGCGATGGATCCGATTTTCCCCAACATGACACAAATGAAGTCCCTGGAACATCTATTTCAAGCTGTACAAATTGACCCGCACAGGATTATGCAACAAACGGTTTGCTATGATCGATGGTTTTCTTGGACAATCTCGGTTTCATGGGGATATGCTGTTCAAGTTTTCCCCAATAATGTATTTTTGCGCGATGCTTTGCGAATGCAAGAGACTTACACTTCCTGGAAAAAGAATGGTCTAAACGTCCATTACAATCTCGATACAAGGGAACATCACCCAGATCCATGTCGAAGGCCACCGGTATTTTACCTCGATCGAGTATCATCAGGCCAGGATGGGATAAAAAGCACTTACAAGAAGATGATCTCTGAAAATTGCACATATGACAGGGCTTCGCCGAGGAAGCTTGAAGAAATCAGGGTGTTCTCTCACAAGCAAGAACTTGACATCAAACAGGTACTTGCTTGCATAAACTTTTGGATACGGAGCTTGACTGCATTGTTAAAATGGCGTCATAAGTTGAGCGACTAACAATGTTTCTAATCCTCTTTGGTAAATTTCATCTATGGTGGCTGAAGTTATAGAAATATGCCAATATCATCACTAATCTTTAATTTATCTCAATTGGATTATTAAACTTTAATTTAGTTTCAGTTAAGTCACTAAACATCAATTTTAGTTTCAGATTTTACCACCATATCACCTATCGCCTCCCAAATCGATCAAAATTGCTTAAGTGATAACCGTACTTGTCATAAAAGTGTTTAATGAAGGAAAAATACGTTTTTAGCCATTTAATCTAAAGACATTTTGATAATCCCTATCGTACCATATTTTCATTTCTAGGGTCCACGTAGCAAATAGGGGGATGATATGTAACTAAATGTGATACGGTTATGAAACTCGAAATGAACTAAGTTATAGTTTAATGACTTAATTGAGACAAATTAAACTTTAGTAATCTGTTTTAAGATTTTGTTGAAGGTTCAGTGACGCTGGTCGTGAATCTATTCTCTTTAATACTACCCAATGTTGTGTAATCTAACCAAACGAGCCATATATAGGATAAATCTCTAAAACTTTCGCTTCGTTTAGTGTCATCTCGAATAATCAATTCAGAATGTTAATTTTTTCCTTGTACCATGCAGTTGCTGGCACCAAGAAGGCATTGCTGTGATGTATTGCCTAATGCAGCTGGAAGTGTGATGGAAATCAACATTAGAGAGTGTAAAAATGAGGAGTTGATACACATGCATCCTTGATGCTATACTTAGATGAGTTGATGACCCCACGCTGAGTTTTTCAATGTGGAAACTGACTAGAAGCCCCCATTGGGTTTGGAAATTTTTTTATTACTAAGAAAATGGCATATGGGCTGGAATTGTTGAAAGTAAATGCTGTGCAAGATAATTTAGGCAAGATTTTAAAGAAGTTTGGTAATGACGGTCCTTTTGAGTGGGGTAAGAACTTAACTATGGGCGAAAGCAAATGGGTTTTGGAGTGAAGACAAGTGTAAAGCTCACGTCATTGAGAGCTTGTGTGGGAGGGATTAAAATCAAATTAAAATTGAAAATATAGTGGTTATTGTTGACTTTTATTAGAAGGGCTGGAATTGTTGAAAGTAAATGTTTAGGCAAGATTTTAAAGAAGTTTGGTAATGACCCTTTTAAGTGGGGTAAGAACTTAACTATGGGCGAAAGCAAATGGGTTTTGGAGTGAAGACAAGTGTAAAGCTCACGTCATTGACTCTTATTTGAATATACTTTTAGGGCTTGTTTGAAAGGGATTAAAATCAGATTAAAATTGAAAATATAGTCGTTGGAGTTGACTTTTATTAGACTAGTGGGACCCAATAACGGCCATATTTTCAATTTTAATTAGCTTTTAATCCCTTCCGAACCCCTATTTGATCCACATTAGTCTTCTCATTCTCATTCTTTTATTCATTTTCAAACACACATTTTTCAATAAAATAATATTTTCCATCACATCAATAATTTTTCCTTCTTTTTCAACCACATATTTTACATAGCATCAAACAAAAAAATTACATTCTTGGACTCAAAATGTGTACCAAACGAGGCTTAGTATGCAATACAACTCTTGTTCTCCTCATAAAAAGTTTAGCATAAAAGTTATTTCTATAGGGGGACCAGATTGACAGGGCTAAATATAATAGCAGCAAAAAGAAAAAGAACAAAAAGAACCCTATAAAATCCGTTTGATAATGAACCACCGGCGCTTTCAACAATTAAAATAAATGTGAATTAATGATGAAATTAAATAGGAAACAATCTTTTGAAAGGACGCGTAAATCCATGTCATAATCACATATTAATAGTTTTCACATGTCAAAGTGTCTTGCACGTGTTACAATGCTATCGAGGCCATCAAAATGTTATGGGTTATGCTGCAAGCATAAAGACCTTTGTCACAGGTCCCTGCCAGGTAATACACATGGTAGGTCGTTATTATTATTATTATTATTACACATGTGGGGCCGGCTCTTTGTGAGGGTTCTATAAGTCCCCTGTTAAAAAATTCATGTACTTGGGAATTTATCCAAATGTTATTTGCCATTTCGTCCATTTTGTTTGTCAACATCTTTTATTTTCAATGAATAGAGGTTAGGAAAAAAATAAAAAATTCCAGTGTTAAAAAGTAGATTGATTTAACAGTAATATGATGTTATTGTAATATAGTCGATTCCACGGTTCTACCCCCGACCTCTTGCACACAAGACATTGCTGCCCTATATTCAAATGCCTCGACATTGGCGCAACAATTGGATAATTTCTCATGCAGACTAATAGATTGTTTGAGCCCCGTTTTTAATGAATGATACATTTTGGAATAGTAGATTAATAGAGAATGTGTGGTTAAAAAATATGAAAAAGTCTTGAGTTTCCGTGCAATATTATTTTATTGAAAATTGTGTGGTTAAAAATAAAAAATATATATTTTCAAGATAATGTGAATCAAACAAGGGCTAAATTTTTAAGTATGTGGTTTCATTACGATTGAAAGAGGAAGAAAGGGGAGAAAATTATAGAAGGGAAGCACTACGAGGTATTCAACTTTCCGTGTATCTCAATTTTATTGAATAATCTGATAATTATCTCATTGTCACGTAGACTAATATTAAACACAACTTGTGCATTATATAACTTTATTTTTTTGAATAGTGCATGAATAGTATAGTACTTTGTGAATAGGGCTGGGTCCGGCCTGTGAGCGTAGCAGCACCTGGGCCAAGCCCGAACCAGACTTTTTACCAGAGGCCCGGTCCTTTTGATACCCCTGCCTAAAAAATTGTACTCACTGCGTCTGCTAGTAAACCAACGAACAAGCAGAGGAGCGTTTGAAGCTTTTCTGTAAGTTGAATTAATGGCTGCCTCCGTTTGCCTAATTGATTCGCAGTATTCCGACCAAATCTCTACCCTTCTCAAGTCTCCATCTCCTAATCAAGTCAAGGCATTAAAATTCTCTCTCTCTTAACACATACTTGCGTCTGTATATAATAAATTTCGAAAACTGATGCTATTTGAAGAAATTAATGTGTTGGTCCAAATCTTACAGGAGTACTTCCAAGAGCTTATAGCTGAAAGGCAATGCAATGGGCTTAGAGTAAACCCAGAAGGCGAACATGGAAAGGGTACTTTATTAACTAGATTCTTGGTTTGTATATACTGCATTATACCATTATCTTCCTTAGCATTACAGTTTCATTGCTGGGCTTGCTGACTGTTTATTACTGATATGGTAAATTGGATAAAAAATTAATCTTGTTCAGTAGATGTTGCTGTGGGATTTTGTTATTAATCGTTTGCTGACATGCCTGTGAGAGAATTTTAATCTGGGCTAGAAAACTGCAGGAGTTTATGCTGATTTTGATTTTAAAGAAGGGGACCTAATTTTGAAGGATCAAATGCTTGTTGGTGCCCAACATTCTTCCAATAAGGTCTTGCAACTTAAGACTGTTACTATGTTACACTCCTCATAATGATTTACTTGGTTAGTTTTTTAGTTATTTTTATATAATTTTATTTAATGTTGCAGATTGATTGTTTGGTCTGTAGCTTTTGCTTCCAATTTATTGGCTCGATAGAGCTTCAAATCGGGAAGAAGCTTTATTTGCATGAGCTAGGCATCTCTGCAGATGAATGTGGTCCTTCTGATAGAACAGAATGTTCTTCTGGTAGTTTTAGTGACAGGAGTCCTCTCCTTCGAGATACTATCGAATCATTGATGAATGATTCTATGCAATTACCTTTCTCTGAGAAGTTCCCTCTGCCTTCAGTTGTTTCATGTCCGGGTGGATGCAGAGAAGCATACTACTGCAGGTAGATGAATAGCCTAATATCTATCTTGGTACACAAAGGGGAGAAAGAGAATTTTCAGCCATGTTAAAATTTATAGTTTGTTTATAATCTGGATTCTGGAGCATAAAAAACTCGAAGTTGCTAAGAATTTCTGGAATCTGAATTTGCATTTTCTTTCCTTGAAAAGAGACTGTTATACGTGTACAAAACATTGTTACCTATTCTTAGTCAGGGTAAGCAGGTGTGTTCAATGTCTATGCTTGATTCATATTTGTTCGTTGTCTATTAAGTCCATTTTATTCACCTCAATGGAAATAAACTCGATGCTACATTGACCGGAATATTTTAACAAGTACTTATTATGGTCATAAAGTAGCTGCACCATCCTCTTAATAAGATATCTATATCAGAAGCTTCAAGCAAATAAGTCAATGGAGTACCTATGGTCTGAATGTTCACATCTAGATTATATCATGGTAATGGTTTTAACATATTTTGTTTCTGAGCAGAGCAGTTGTTTGCAAATAAATTGGCTTGTATTATATGTCATTTAATTTTTCAAAAAGTTCAAAATATTACTACTTGTGTGAACCATTGGTCTTACATGGCATGCATGGACTGTCAATTTACTTTCTTCACTGTTATCATCTAACAGTATGTTAAATTCTTTATTCAACAATTAACTATTGCATAGATTATCACTTAATCCATCTTGTGTAGCGAATCATGTGCCAAGGCTGATTGGGATTCATTCCATTCTTTGCTTTGTACTGGGAAGGGATCAAAATCATCAAATATAGAGGCACTTCTGAAATTCATTCAACATGCTAATGGTAAAGCTCTAAATTACTTTACTACCCTTCAGCAGTTTCTGTTATATTTCTCTATCTTGCTTGCGTTTCATGCTTACATTGTTTTCTCCTTCCAGAAACTAATGACATTTTCATCCTTGCTGCTAAGGTAATGTCTAGTCTTCATTTTCCTTTTTCCTGTCCATGAATGATCATAAGAGATTAAATAGTTTTGGTGCAGACTCTTATTTCACCTTGATTCATTTTGCTATCACATCCATCTGTTAGTTACCATTTCATAAAATAGTTGTGGTCTGCGATAGAAATGTAATCAGATTTTGAGAATGTAGGTATTACCTAGTGAGAAATGAGTATGCAAGTAAACTCCTAGAAGAAGATCTACTTAGATATAAGAAAGAAATTTGTGTTCCTACTTTGGTGATAGAGAGCAATAAAAGTTACCTCAACCAAGGAAATTTGGAATGTTTGACATAAAGATGAGTATCATAGACATTCTATGCTTGAGTGGATTGAATTGAAAAGTAAAACAAATGACATTTTGATTGCTAAATGGATTCATTGTCATTTAAGAGGCTTTTGGTGTTGTATTGCAACAAATTTTCTCTTTTTACTGTTAGGTGATTTTGCAGTTAGAATAATCTATCTCCCCTTAAAATTATTTCTCTAGAATTTATGACATTCTTTTGCCTTTTGACATTTGCTTTTGCCCCTCCACCTAAGCAACACCTGAACGAAAGCTAATACGAATTCCCTGATTAATCCAGAAAAAATAAAGAAAATCATGTAGCACATGAATCACTCATCGATAAAGAAGCTAAGCGAACTGTTTATATGCCAGAAAATTATCTTGTGACGTTTGGGAAAATTATCATTTGGACTTGATTAAGCCAAAATTTTTACAAGGCTGATTGTAGTGAGGGATTGTTATTTTTATGGAAGAGTAAAACATGTATGAAATGCAAAAGAGCATCAAGCGGGCTAATTGATCATTTTGAAGGTAAAAAGAGAGTTTTGGTGCATAAATTAGTTTTCTTTAATTTTATGAGAATCGTAACTAGAGATAGATTTGTCATCAGCCATGAAGGTTATCTTTATTGGTCCTTTTTCAGGTTATTTCATTTACCATTCTGAGATACAGGAAACTGAAAGTGGCTCAGTTTGAAAATCCCGAGAAACAAGATGCCATAAATCTATATACCAATTATGGTTTTCCAATGCTGTTAGAAGCATGGAAGCCTGTATCTATGGGATACAAGAGAAGGTAATTCAAAATTTTTAGCTGAAATTTTTTTCTTTTGCTTCTTTTAGTTACAAAATCTTGTCTTGCTAAAGTTAGAAGCATTAGAGTTATTTAAAATAATATTATTTCATTGTAGTTATTTTAAAATTTTAAAGGACACAACATACAAATGACCATAGTTTCTTTTGCTTCAGTCTACAGGAATCTGGATTTGCTTAATATGGCCATTTCTTTAGTTTCCATTATTAAAGGCTTTCAGATTTTCTAAATGCTTGTTTGACATCTCATGAACATACAAGTGCTCGGTCTTTAACATATATTTGCCAAACTTGCAAGCCATACCATTACTCATAAAAATGGAGATAACATGTTTCCATAAACATAATGCAATAATGTGCTTAAAATGTTTTTTCTTATCCAACAGAAGTTACAGAATGGATGTTCTTGATATGTTTTAAATGTTTGATCAGAAGTTTATTTAGAATTTTTGACTGAGCTGAAAATAATGACTCATAAGTACTTTACTTATTTTTCTTATAATTAGTAGTATTTTTTTGATTGTTTGGTAAATTGGTTAACTTATATCTGTAGTAGTACTTTTTTAAATTGGTTAACTTATATCCGTAGTAGTACTTTTTTAACTATGTATGTCGAGTTAATTACAATTGTAGTTTCATTTTTAGGGTTACTTATAAATAAGGCTAAAATGTCAAATGACTGAAAAGTAAGTTAAAATATCAAATCACTGAAAACTGAAAAGAACATAATTAAATTTATAATATAATATTTTAAATTAATTTTAAAATTTATTATTTAGATAATTTTTTTTGGAATAAATAGCATTCATTTTTTTTCCAATAGTTTAAAATTTAATTTTTATTTACACATTATTTTCTAGAATGGTAACTCCATCAATAATCATGAAGTCACACTTACTCTGCATGAGGATACTGCTCCAATGATATGAAATACGCTTTAAATACATTTAAATTTGTCTTAGGTGGTGGGACTGCATTGCTCTGCCAGAAGATGTTGATTCTTGTGATGAAGCTATGTTCAGAATGCAAATAAGGGACTTGGCATTCACGGTAATCCTCCAAATAGATACATCTTAAATAAGAACATGTTAGGAAATTATATATTATTGGATATTCCTTTTGTTATAGTACGCTCATGTTTACCAAAAATTTTTTTGAAAAAAAAAAAAACACTGTGATCTGCTTGGCTTAAGTGCGAGTTCAATCCATCATTTTGAAGCAAACAGAAAAAAGAAATTTTTTGTTGGTAATCCATGTGAAGAAATCTGTTTTTTTTCAAAAGAATTTGCATTTCCTCTCTTGTTTACAGTTCACCTCTTCCCAATTTGCTGTCTGTCTCTAAAATTCTAACCCACAATTTATTTTCTGCACTTTCAGTTTTGCACTACTGCACTTCTCTTCATTTAGTCAATTTATGCCAAGCAAATAAATGATCCATACTAGATAACCAATCGACGAAAATTTCTGGACTCATCTTTCCATGAAAATCAGGCACTTCTATCATTTCCTTCCACATAATAATCATAGTGTACTTTCTAAGCCTCTATTTCTCATTTGTTTACTTCTAGTGTTATTACAGCGATCTACATCATAGGAATTTCATAAAATATTCCTCAATAGCCTCTCGGATTTAAGATCAATGCTGTCTGGCCATGAGTGTTAACCCTAGGGTCCAACTGAACTGTTCACAGTTTTTCTTTAAAAAAATAAAAAAATTGCGGCCTGATGTTTGCTATTACTATTAGCTTTTCCCAAGCATGTGTGATTCTAAAATTACAGATGGCTGATATCATTTGAGAATGATTTTCCAGGTAGCTTTAATACTCTTTTCCATCAGTTAATGGTTGAAGAATAAGACTTAGATTTGCCTCTAAATTGAGTGACATCTGCTTGTGCTTTTAGGATGTTACTTGTCCCGTCTTCCATATTGCTGGAACTAACTTTCTTGTCTTTTTGGATACCTTATTAATTGCTTTTGGCCATGAATTATCTCTTGAAACTTTTTATTCCTCTCTTCAGTGACTTGAATCATTTTAGCATGTCTGACATTTGTCACCATGTTGTGGCCCTGATTAACATATTGGTTTGGCTAAGGTTTAGAAATTTTCTATCACAAGTGTGACTAGACCTGGCTGAAAGGCAGATAAGATTGTCTCGTTTTCGAGCAAAAACAAACCTTTTAAAAATGTCTAACATTCATAAAGGGCATAAATTACTGGAATAAGTTATCTTTTCCCATAGATTATTATCCTACTCACTGGCTGCTATTAGTATTTATAAAGTAATGAAGATATGACCCCCAAGTAGCTGCCTCCA